GGAAGTCAAGGTATATTTTCAAGTGATCGAACCGCTGTTTACATTCAAACAGTTTATATTCCTTAACCAATCACTGAATATTAAGTCACTGCATGTACTTATTTAATTTTATTTTAGTGTGCACCTGATTAAAGCTTTTCACACACATCTTCGGAAATATTCCTTTTGTTGCTAAGAGAATTTACTTTATACATATCTGTTGTATAGTTTGAGAACAGTATCGCAGAAAAGAGCAGTGACTCTTCGCTAAACGTCTTTTCTTTTAATAAGTAAATGTAAATAAATAAACAAACGGAAAAACATTGATCGTAAAGCCGGGGGGTTGATTGGGTAGAATTTACATATCAGAAAACAAGTTTTAGGAGTGGGGAGGGTCCGTAGGAGTGTAGGGGACTGTTAAGAGCAAGTTCATTAACATAACAAATATGCGAATAAAAATCCGAGTCAATGAGAGTACAATGCAACAATATATTATCAAAATGCAGTAGTGAGTTATATTCATTAATAGGTTACTTGGATACGTTGTTAAAGTCCACAGAAGCGTTGACTGTTGGAATCGTGTCTACTGATAGAAGCTGTGTTCCGGTTGTAGATTTTGTCTTCGGATAAGGATAATAGGTTCCTGCAATAAATCCAAAGTATACAAGACGGTTTGAGTGGAGTGAGTAGACAGAAATGGCCAGAGAGAAGGCGAAGCTACCAACAGTATAGTGTATTTCAAATTGCACTCGGAAGTTATATGTATTTAAACATAAATCGTTTTAAACAAGAGTCATGTACAATGTTTCTAATTTCAACATCTAACCAAAAAGTGTACAATCATATGGTTACGTACTCCACAGGAGTAATGATAACTTCATCCACAGTTTGCAAAATGTATAACTTTTTATTGGGAATTATTCAGTTGGTGGTCGTTTTCAAATGATCCTGAGTTAAATCCGCCGTCAAAATGTCAGGTTGTTAATTTCACTTTCAGATGCAAGCATGCATGAATTACATGAGCTGGTTAGTTAGTACGCACGGTTCCATTATCATAGATGACACAGGAACTGAAACTAAATTGAATGTGAAATACCTTGTACTGTGTATTCTCTCAGATGTTTCCTGGTCTTCATACACTATGTCAGTCTCTACGGTGATATTTCATCTGACATTCTACGTAAGGCAGTTAAGACAATGCGATATCAGCCCCAGCCTTTACTTTCTAAGTTTGTTAATTCTTGTACTTTAACTATCTTTCCTTACAAGTATTCTTGTGATAATCACAAGGGGATTAGCTTGACTAATATGGTGTCTAAAGTTCTAGACTCAATAATCATGCGTATACTAAGCGGTCCACGGGAGGAACAAACACAAGAGAACCAGGCAGGCTGCAGACCAGGAAGAGAGTGTATTGATCATATCTTCCTTCACCCTTCGACAGATTCTGGAACACAGGCATACTGACCGTCGGCGTCCAAAAATCGTCATATTTGTTGACCTAAAGGTGGCATTCGATTCTGTCAACCGAGAGGTACTTTGGCGGTGCTTGGTTGTAAAAGGAATGTCGAGAATATACATTACACTGATCAAGGCACCCTGCTTGAACTCATGCAGCCAGCCAGTTGAGAGCTTACGGCGAGTTGTCATCTTAAGTGGTGACAACTAGTGGTGTCCAGTCAAGGATGCCCACTATCCCCATTTCTATTCATTTTCATCATAGATGTACTAATGGACTTAACCCTAATTCACTTCAGCGACTCAGGGATCGACTTGTTACCAGGGAATGCTAGTCTCGTTGACTTAGAATATGCAGATGATATAGTCCTCCCTCCGAGGTCAAGACGCTGACAAGATACAAAGTCTTCTGAACACCTTGAGTTGCAATCTACGAATGTTTAGCATGCGATTCGTTCCCGCCAAATGCTACATGACTGGACTACATTAACTCCTAGCTTAGAAATAGGGAATGAAGTGGTAGAGGATGTTGACCGCTTCGCTTATTCGGGAAGTCGCATCAGCCAGCTCCAATAAGTTGATCACTGACGGAATCTCAGCACGGATACAGAGGGCCAGTTTCGCATATGCCAGTTTACGCCGTCTCTGGCATAGACATGATACCCGTCTGGCTGGTTGTCGATCAAAGGGCGGGTGTATTGCTCAGCAGTCCGCTCTGTCCTCCTTCATAGCTGGCTGTGAGACATGGCCACTAAGAGTGGAAGATATGCAAAGACTAGCTGTCTTTGATCATAGGTGTCTGAGTTCTATCTCCCGTGTAAGGTAGTATATTAAGGTGAGCAATATTGAGGTTAGGCGTTGAGGGAGGGGAAATCAATCGACGAGGCTGTGAGGTTACATCGATTGAGATGGCTAAGAAATGTGTTACTCATGCCCAGCGTAGTCATCGCCTTCCTTGACGGGCAATGTTAGCTGACATAGGGTCAGGTTGGAAAAGAGAAAGCCAATGGTGGTTAAACCAAAACATGGCTTCATCAGTCAATGAATTCCACAACAGTTAGTTTAAGTCAGATAAGTAGGAAAGTGTAGACTGGCTTCCTGGTTGGAGTCGTCAGGACGGTAAGAACCAATGGTGGCATGGCACTACCAACTTAATGAGAAACACCAAGTGAAGGGGCCTTTTTCATTATTATCTTGTTGTTAATATTTTCGCTTAATTTAATTTAATATTCATACTCTTATTGAACGTTAATGTAAATGTCCTGTTTTAATTATCACCCATGAATTGAGAAAGTTAAATGCAATACTGCACTGTACTACATGCCGAAAATTCCATATTTGTTTGGAATTAAGCTATTGTTATTATTCTTCTTGATTTTCCTGATTGCAGTAGATTGGATAATGCGACAAACAGTGGGCAATGAGGAAACAGGCATTTCAGCTTAAGATGTAAAAGACAGTTAAAAGAAGCCGTCGATTCTCATGACAGTTGTAAGATTGATGACAATGATATAGGAATTAAATGAGAAATTAAGTATATTGGACTTATTCTCTCTTCTGATCTCTCCTGGTCTTCCTATGTCTCTGCGATCTCCAGTAAAATATTCCGCCTGACATTTTACATTAAGAAGTTAAGGCACTCGGGTATAACTCAACCCCTCCTCTTACAGTTCATAAACTCTTGCATCCTACCTATTCTTCTTTATTGTCCACCCTTATTTTTTCCTGGTTTGCTTAAAAAGGACTTTGTCACAATTCGTAGAATGCTGAAGACTGTCAGTAGGATGAGTGGTGTCCCAGTGGACCATATAGTTAACGTCGTTGTCGATAGGCACTTGACTTTGTGCAGTAAATTTGCTTAAGGGATTTTGTCTGACTTGGAGCACCCACTCCACCCTCAGCTTTCACCTTGCATCTCCTCAGGTAGAACAAGAAGTAACTTCAGAAAACTGTATGCTCGTACGTCTAAGTATAAAAATTCTATGATACCATACTTGGCACGTATTTTATGTGATGAAAATAGTGTCAGGCAAGAATTGACTAGCCTTTTTTCATCTAGTAAATAAACAATCTCCTCCATCCATCCTTATACACCTTGAAGTTTTACTTTTATTATTTGTATTATATTTATGGTCCTGTTACTTCTTCGTTTTACTCTCATAATTGCAAAAACCAACTTATCTCTATGACTGCTTTAATCTTTGTTTTTTTCCTTCACCATATCATGTAAACAGAACATCATATTCAATATTTTTAATCATGCAAAGATTTGTATGCCGCATCGACAATACTGTGTGAAACAAGCTCACGGCAATTCCCACTTGTATTATTATCATTACCTTAGCTGCTATCATTACTATTATTTCCATTTAAATGCTGCATGTTTTCTATTTTTCTTTATATTAACCCTATTGTAAATGTAGAAAAATTTTTCTGTGTGATTAATTTTATTTATAATTTGAGGAAATTAGATGCAATATTGTGATTAATGCTGAAAATTCCATTCTGTATCACAAGTACTGTTTTTGGAATAAAGTATATTATTATTATTATTATTATTATAAAATGGACTCACACAAAAAGAAACTTGGAGGATCTGGACTTCGCCGATAATATATGTCTGATTTCCCACAAACACTGGAAGATATGCAAGCGAAAAGCAACAAGTTGACAGAAGAAGAAGCATCAAAGATAGGACTTCCTTCAGGTGAACATAGAGAAAACAGAGGTGATGAAGATTCCTGGGCAACACCACCAACAGCAACAACAACAACAACAGACAACAATCAGCATAAATGGAAGGAACCTGAAAGAAACAACCGCATTTACCTACCTGAGAAGCATCGTTTCAACTACAGGCGGATGGAACTGATGAGGATATCACAGCAGTGAGGATCGGGAAAGTAAGGCAAACGTTCATTCCTCTTAAGTCTGTGTGGAGGTCAGCAGCATTTAGCATCAAAAATAAGATCCGAATTTTCAACTCCAATGTGAAGTCAGTGCTACTTACTATACGGATCAGAGACTTGCACTGCGCGTCATAAAGAGTACCTCAAACAAACTACAGACCTTCATTAACAGCTGTCTTCGCTCAATACTCAAGATCAGATGGCCAGAAAAGATTAGCAACAGAGAGGGATCTCTGGGAGCGAACCAACCAGGAACCGATTGTGAAACAAATAAGCAGGAAGAAATGGAGATGGATTGGCCATACTTTGAGGAGACCATCAAGTGAGTGACATCACTAGACAAGCCATTGCTCGAGTGGAACCCGAAAGGGAAGCGGCGAGTTGGTCGTCAGAGCGAGGGTGACTTGGAGGAGGTGGTGTGAAGAGGAGATGAAAGCATGTGGGCAAACTTGGAGCCAGGTGAAGACTCTAGCAGAGAACCGAACGCAATGGAGACGCGCGGCTGAAGCCCTATGTTCCTCTAGGAATTAAAGGGAACAATAATATAATAATATTATTATTATTCTGAGTTCCTGAGTTACACTGTGCTCCAACTAACATTTTTATTCAAATATTTTATTATTTTCTTGTAGATCTCAGATTATAACTCCAACCATGTCATGTACAAATCCTGGTAGTTCTAGTAAAAATGGAGGATCAAGAAGTGGTGTTTCAAGGTATTTTGATTTGAATTCTTTTCGTCAATTTTTTTTCTTATCACATATTGATTTTTTCCCTATTATGTCATAATATGATTGGGTAATTTTACTGAAATGTATTTTGTATGATATGCATATTAACCCTCTCTGATTTTAGACGCATAAATTCAGTGATAGATGGTTCGTTGACATTTTTCGGGTTCAATTCTCGTGAAACTACCATTGAAGATTGGAATGAACGCCGACTGAGATATATGATAAAGCGTTATGGAAGTATTAAAGGTGATCGTTTATCTGCTGTAAGTATGTTTTGTTTTGTTTCACCTGAAACGTAGTTCTATGTATTGTTTTTAAAAAAACATTTTATTTCTATGAATGTCATGAATGGGGATGGCATCTTAAAACATCTTCAATTTGATGTGTGGTATGTGCTTTTTGCGTCGGTGGCACAGCGGTTAGGACGCTCGCCGACCATGCACATGGTCCGGGGTTCGACCCCCGGCCGACACACTCCTTTACCTCGCTAAGCCAGAAATAAAAAAGCTGGTAAAGAGGAAAGGTTGGGCATGAGGCTAGCAACCCCATCCTGTAAAATTAAACACTGCTACAGAAACTTCAAGCCTCTAGCTTGAAGGCGCCCTATGTTCCACTGGGAACGTGAAGGAATAAAAAAATGTGCTTTTTGCACCGTCTAAGTGCAAAGTACTGTTATAAGATTGGTAAGAGTCTGTATCTGCATTCACTTCTTCTGCAGGTGAACCACTTGAAAAGTTGTCGATAAGTTCGTGTATCCGAGTATTTGTGGGAATTTTTGGTGGAGATATTGTGGACGAGAATTTTGAACCGTATCATGAAAGCCAAGGTGGCATACGTCAACTTGAGCCAACTCTGACGCTGTCAAAGGTTGAATTTACAATGCTTCAGTGCGGACTGTCCTTGCTCTACGCTTGCGAAACCTGGCTTCTCCGAGCTGAAGATGTGCAGTGACTCTGTGTATGTGATCACCGCTGTCTTCGATGGCATCATCGTGTGAGTAATTCTGAGGTCCCGCAGAGTGTCTTTAGACACAGTTGAGATCACCGTTGACTGCGTGTCGTCATCTGGAAACACTGGCTTCGGTAGCTTGGAAATGCGCTACTAACGTCATCCCAGAGGCTTCCGTATCGGTCTTTGTTCGCTAGCCCTGGATCTTGTTGGAAAGCCCATGACATGGCATCGTGGGATGCAGGATATTTGTGTTAGATTAGCGTTGGTTGGTGCATTACAACTCCATGGTTGGTGTCCGAGAGATAGGTCAAATCTGTGTGGCTCAAAACGTTATCGGATACAGCCAAGAATTACAGTCATCAATGGCGAACGTGTTGCAATTTCCTCCTTTGTTTTCCTTTCGACAATAGTTCGACGAATGCTGTTTAGTCTTGTGAAATAAAACTGCTTTCTTCTACCATTTTTGTTTTTCATATGTTGTTTTTATTATTATTATTATTGTGTAGTGGCTCATCTTCTTGGTGCCATATTGTACCAGATTTTGTGTGTTTTAAATAAAATAAAATCATCAATTTACTATGCTCGATGCAGCACACAAAAGCAGAGAAAAGACAGAGAGAGAAAAAGGGACTCAAAAAGACCCTTAATGAGGGGAAATATGCAGTTGATTGAATATTGATAACGTAGAGAAATATGAAGATTTAAAGGATCTTAGAGATTAAAGAAAGAATGGATGTATCTGCACCGTTGAGTATAGTTTTCAGCTATATCACTAAGAGTACTAAGCCCCATGGAGCTTAGCATCATGAGGACTTCAATCAGATAGTCTACACTTCTAGCCAATGTCACTGTGACAGGCTTAAATCAACAATCAACGACTTCATAGATTGATGATAGGCTTTTTGGTGTTTGTGACCACCACTCCTAACTCTTTTGGAATCCAATCCTCTTTAGCAGTACGCACCCATCGGGGTTCAAACCAACCCAGGACCTCTGGCTTACAAGGTGAGCTGGTAGACCACTCAACAGCTGGGGGACGGATTTCAACTACCCATGATTTTTAAATTCTGCCAGTTCGCGGTGTATATATCGCCAGTGGTCATTGGCGAGTAAATATTCTCCTATCTGACTTGGTGTACTTCGTTGGTCCAAAACTTCTCTGTAGAATTCCAGGTTACTTCCTGTATATAGACGCAGTCGCTAGTTAGCATAAAGTTAATTGGCAAGTGTTGATTTGCAGACAGGTTTGATTGCTTACAGATTTGATCACGAGCTGGCATCAATTAGAGGGAGAGAGAGAGGGAATCATTAAAATATCAGGGAGTAAAGTTTTCAAAAGTACACATGTAACAAAGTTTGAATCCGATTGAAACCAGTCAGTTGTTTCATGCTTTTTTATGCACGTTGATATTTCTCACAATTTGGTGGCATCCTATGAACTTAGTGGTTGTAATTTTCAGATTCTCTTGATAGTAATAGATGTAACGATCTTTGCTTTCCACTAATATGTCTGAACATAACTTCTTTGTGTTACTCACAGTCACAAAATATCCCAACGACAACAAATAGATAGTTATTTGCAAATAAAAATCTGAGTTATCAATCAGAAATCGTGCGTCAGGGGCACAGCGGTTAGGATGCTCGCCGACCATGCACATGGTCCCGGGTTCGATCCCCTGCCGACGCATATCCGATATCAATGGTCGGCCTGCAAAATTGGGCTACCGATATCACATGCTGAAAATTCCATACTGGTACCAAAAATGCCGTGTGGAATCAAGCTATAATTTAGAAAACATGTTGGTTAACCATTGCTTGTTAAAGAAGATAGATGGTGGCTAAGCTAGTTATGCGCAGCGCATTTGCTAATCGTCTTAATCGATATAGCTTCAAGTCTTCATCGATCGACTTGCCCTCCTTATCCTAATACTCTCTACGCCTAACCGCAGTATTACTCCAACAAACCAATTGGTTATGGTCATCAAGTTCTGTTGCACTCACATCATTCTGGTCAACTGGAGGGGAGTACCATTTACTGTCACACATGATTAGTATGGCTCTTAGCTTAGTCCAATAAACGTCTCTTCCGAGTAAGTGAATTCAGAAGAAGCTAGACTTCATTGTATTCAAAAAGTGTACTAAATCTGGATTTTGGGATGATATGTATCAACTGGGGACCTCAGGTGAACATAGAGAAGACGGAGGTGATGAAGAGATAACCAAACAACAGTAGCAACGACAAAAACAGTAGCACCAATCACCATCATCAACGGAAGAGATTTGAAAGAGGTTACTTCCTTCACTCATCTAGGAAGCATCGTCTCAACTACAGGCTCTGGACACGAATGAGGATGTTGAAACCAGAATCGGAAAGGCAAAATACACCTTCATCAACTAGAAATCGGTGCGAAAAAATTCTGGACTGACTCACCCAGCTTATATGAAGAGTGAGATGGAAATGAAAACATTTATTTCCCGATACGAATTTAAAACAAGCAACAAAACAGGTTAATAAAGCAGGATTTAATGAATTCATCAAATTTCGGTAGAACTCGTCAGCTGAATACTCTACATACACGGATATATATATATACTTTTGAAATTACATTGGGAGATATAAGACTGATAAGTAAACAAACTACATTGAATTAGTCATGCAGAAAGACAGGTGCGAATGTTTTTCCAGGTCATGTTCAAATAGATAAGGGGAGAGAGAGTATGAGAGATCAAAATTAAGATGAATTGCATTACGCTTTAATTACATCACTTACATGAACAATTAGACATTAGACAATATAACAAGAATTGCAAACAGAGTAATGTTAATAATAATAATAGTGTTGAAGTGAGTTAAGATAATCCTACTGTTAAAGGATAGTTTTAAATGAATTAAGAATAATAATGGTAATAATAACAATAATAATAAGAGGTAGAATAATAAGTAAAACGTATTACCATGGTAAATTCAGAGTCACGACCATCTCGTTTTGTACACAGAGACGTGGTTTATAAACTCGAATTGCACAAGCCACTGCAATTGCAAGCATTTTCTTCTATCTTTGTCTGCTGACAATAGTGAATGACTTGACCGCGTCGATATCATGTTCGTAGTCCACAAGATGTTTTGTTATTGAGGATTTTGGCACTTTGTACTCAGCTGTTTTCAACCATTTTGGCAAGTGCTCCATCATGCGAGTAGACCATCTCCTTTCCGTACGACCTATGTATTTGCTTCCACAAACACACTCAAATTAATATACACAGTTTGAAGTGTCGAGGATTGGCGACTGGTCTTTCCCAGATTGTTGAAGCACTCGCTTGGTGGTGTTAAGGAAAACAAGTTCTGCAGCATAATAAGTTCTCTTGATGGCTTTGTTGAGTCTTCGTTTGACTACTTCCTGTACATCATCTCCTTTGAACGACAAACTGATATAGACAGGTTTCTTTGGAACTGTTTGGATTGTTTTGGAGGGGCTATTTTCTTTAGAGTATTTATTAATGAACTTATCAGGATATCCATTCTTAGATAAAATATCCTTCAGAGATTTTATTTCATGCTCCACAGTACTGTCAGAACAAATTTTTCGTGCTCTATTGAACAGTGTTGTGACTAAGTTCTTTTTATACTGTATTGGAACAAAGCTCTTGAAATGCATGCACTGTCCTGTCTATGAAGATTTTCTAAATATAGATCTTTCGATTGCGCCATCATTTATTTTCGCCAGAATAACGTCTAGGAATTCAATAGTATCGTTTTCCCTCGTGTTCTACTGTGAAATTGAGATTTGGATGGCATGATTTGAATTTTATCAACATGGCTTCGGCTTTTGGTCTGCTTCCACAGACAATAAAAATGTCATCAACATATCTTAGGTATACATCCATTTCTTGTATATGTTGCTGCAATGTATCGGTTTCTAGGCGTGACTGGACTGGATACATACACTAAGGTGATATTGAAGTGACATGAAATGTTAGGCCATCAAGTGGGACCCGAAGAGGATTGTTTTGAGTTGGGTGTAGATCCCAAAGGTGATATGGTGAAGAGGATCATATTGATAAGAAGAAATGATAGCTTATCGGGGGCGGGTAAGGTAAGGAGTCGTGGAGACAGTTAAAAGTGATCACAGGAAGCCCCAAGTGTAATGTAGATGGGAAGGTCAAGGAAGCTCTCTGCAAGGAATGAGTGATAACAATAATAATATAACACAAATAATGGAATATTTTGACGTATAACTCCATTATATAGATAAGATTTTATTTTGATAAAGTCACACAGTGTTGTTATACAGTAATATTAACTGATGACCATGTTTCGAGCACAAACTATTGCCGCTCATAATCTTATCAAGTTACTCAAACAACTTTTTTCCATCATTTATATACATGTGTGGAATTGACTAGATATTTGCATAAAAATCAATATGGGATAATTTATATTCAGAAATAATAATATGAGTGTTATCAATCAAATACAATCAGATGGGGAATAAGATGTTATTATAGTAAAATAAATAAATAAATTGTTAGGATGTTATGATGTACGTGAATTGAAATAAAATTTTAAGATTATTTATTATCCTCTTTTGATTTGACTGGTGGTAATAATATCTTCCATATCTCTGGTATTTGAATTGAGTCATTTCCGTTGCATGTGTTGGCTGAAGGTGGACTCGATGAACCAGGCAGGATTCAGTAATCAACCTCTTTCTCCACCTACCTACCTATATTACTTTTTAGAATTTTAACTCTGTCCCACCCACCCTATTGTGTGGGTTGTGTATGTGTATTAATGCATGCAGTGCAATAGCTGAGTTTTCTTTTTATAAATTACTTATCTTCGTGGGATCAATCATTCTAACCTTAGCTAAATTCTTATGTTCTGATAACCTGACTACTGACCCGATCTACTAGTTTGACCTATGTAGTTGACTCAACTCACAGTCATTGCAAGGTATTTTGTAAATTATATTACTTTGTTTAATTGGGTCCATCGGGTCCTTTACCCTACAGAGTTTGTACTACCTGAGTGAGTTTGTAGGTTTCAATGCCACCCTAGTTCCTGCTTTATTGATAATCCTACGTATATACTTTTCACTAAATCGTATGTCATTCTTTATCTTTTCTTCGAGTCTATTTGTTATTATTATCATCATCATCATCATTCCCTTGGGTTCTGAGTGGAACATAGGACTTCAACAACACATCTCCATCCTGTTCTGTTTTCTCACGTCCCCTCCTCCTCCTCCTTTTCACACGATCTCCCCCATGTTGCCTCTGCACTGACGACCCAATCGTCGCCTAAGTTTTCTTAGGCATTCATTTAACCTTCTTTTGTTTTGTTTTTTAACTTGAATTTCTAGCTAACTACACCAGTGCCTTGTGATTTATCTGGGTCGTCATTAAGACAACAAGTAAGTTTGTTATAGACATAGTTTGTATGTGTACGTGTGCGTGTGAGTGTGTATAGGGCCATTTATTTGTGTATTCCAATTATTTCATCAGAGCAATAAGAACGCATTGAGTAGGATAAAACATGACGTGTTATTATATTTCATTTGGTCCTCGTCAGCTGCATACAACCACAGTCGACAATCTTAGCATGAATATACTAAGTTATAGATCATAAAGGTGAAGTATAATAGTGTTATGCGATCAGATTATCATTAATATTATTCCCTTGAGTTCCGAGTGGAATATAGATTTTTTGCAGCACATTTCCACTGTGTTCTATTTTATGCTGTGTTCTATTTAGCTAGGTCTGAGATTGCCTATAATCTCTCATCTCCTCCTCCTCGCCACACGATCTCCTCCATGTCATCCTCGGACGTCACACTCGAGTAATAATCTGGCACTCTGTGTTATTCGACAGCCTTCCATCTTCTCGTACATATTTATTGAACGACAGGTTCTTGGTTGGTTTGTTCCTATAGTTTCTTGTTTCTAATTCTTCCTGGCCGGCCATTTGATCTTCAATATGGACCCGGTGAAGGCAGTTGTTGATAAAAATCTACAGTGACCTGTTAGAAATGCTTCTTATGACGCACAGTGCAAGTTTCTGACCTGTGCAGAATAACCGACTGACTTCACATTGGAGTTGAAAAGGATCCAAATCTTGTTGTTAATGCTGGCCGAGTCAGTGTAGAAGTTTTCCACACTGATTTCAGGTTGATTAAGGTGTATTTCGCCTTTCCGATTCTGGTTTTAACATTCTCATTCATGCCGAGAGCCTGTAGTTAAGACGATGCTTCCTAGATGGGTGAAGGGAAGGTAACCTCTCTCAAATTTCTTCCGTTGATGATGGTGATTGGTGGTGGTTGTGGTGCTTGTTGTTGTTGTTGGTTCTTTGGTGTTGGTAATCTTCATCACCTCAGTCTTCTCCATATTCACTTGAAGTCCTGTCTTCTCTGCCTGCTTCTTCAGCCAATTTTTTGGTTTTTGCCTGCAAGTCTTCGAGTCTGTGTGACATTAAACATAAATCATCCACGCGTGAAATCCAGATATTCTAGAGTTTTCTTATGGCTCCAATGTATTCCTTTGTAGAGTGGACAGGAACTAGTGGGAAGACTACAGAATGTTTTTATAAAATCTGTATGAAAATGCAATGTTATTAATAAACAGTAATATAGTTATATATGTCCAAACCAAGTTCACTTTTAACAGTTTGAAAAAATTTGGGCATTGGGTATGTGGTGATATTCATTATAATAAAGTTCTGTTTGTATTTCCCAATGAATGAAAAACAAAACGATATTGTAGTTACACCAACCTTCCTTGGTTCTCACCATCCCGAGGACCCCAACCAGTTAGCCAGCCAGTCTCCACCTCCATACATGGATTAAACTAACTAAATCCTTCTTTGGCATATACATGTAAAATAGTATATGCATTTGGAGGTAACATAACAGGCAGACTTCTCAACCTTTTTATTGTCTCAGTGAGCTTATAAATTCATCAAACTGTGAATTAGTTTGCGAGGTGGATAAGTTCACTTGAGAGCAGTAATGTTATTCTATGTTTGATTCTTCCAGACCCCTCATCAACTTTTTGTTTATAATATTCAAGTGTTGGTTTGCACAGAGGGTTTGATTTGATTGGTTACAGGATGCCATCATAAGCTTGACATCGGTTAGAGAATCATTGGAAAACCAGTCAGGGAGTACTGGACAGCTGTTTCTATTGTCCTAGTTCGATACGCTTTATCAGTACACCTAATGGTTTACGAGCTCTCATCGTAACCAGAAGGCCCTGGGTTAGAACTCCCTTGGGGTGGGTGCATACTGATAAAGAGTCCGAAACTAGGACAAAACAGCTGGCTGCCCAGTACTCTCAGGTTTTTGTTTGCTTTTTTTGCATCCAAATTCTGATTTCCCCCTTCTGTCTTCCTTGTTTTTTTTATTCATGTTCTATAGTTCGCGTCAAGTTCAAACGCTGAACCATTGAAAATTATGACGAAACGTCAAGTATGCTCATAATTATTTGTTTAAATTGTTTTTTTAAACACTATTTTTGCAGTTATCGATCGAGAATTTTGGTCTATGATTGATTGATTTTCATCAGATAGCTGTCCGTATTATCATAGTTTGGGACTCATCAGTAGTAAGCAGTCACCGGGGTTCGAATCCAAGACTTTCTGGTTACAAGGCAAGCTCGTAGACGATTCAGCCACTGGAACCTGACGTAATGACTTGTGTTTTGCGCTGTATATATCGCTAATTGTCAGAGACTTGAATTCGTGTACTGTTGCATCGCGTCCCAGTGGTTGAATGAATGGTCCACGAGGTCGGCTTGTAACCAGAAAGTTTTGGCTTCGAATCTTGATGGGTGCGTACTACTGAAGAGTCCTGAACTCACATGAAACAGTTGTGCAGTGTTTCCTGGTTTTTCGATGGTCCTTTAACGGATGCCAGTTCGTGTTCGAACCTGTAAACAGTCAAATACCCAGCAAACCGACACTTGGTATTTGATATTCGAGAAGATATTCAGCGAAGAGACTCTTTTCAGCGGCGAATTCATTCACATAGCTGTACAATCGCATTTATATATAATTATCTGTGTGTGTGTACATGAGGTTTGTCAAGTTTAGATATAGAAACAAGGTTAATTAGACAGCAACTAAAGTAAGATTGAGTTAGTAATTAAAGATGACGTAATATAATTGACTAAAATGTTTCAACTTAGGTCAGGGTAGCAACAGAGGTAACTGCAGGTTGAGACTAAGTAGAAGTGGCGTAGAGAATAATGCCATCTAAATTGGGACTAAAATTGAGCAAATAAATTGGATGAATTAACATAAATGACTAGAAATTGATCGTTGGTTAAGTCAGTAACAGTGGTAATGAGGTGTAGAAATTAAATCAGATGCGGGTAGAGAACAGGAAGGTTGAAAATGTAAAATATTACAATTGAGAAGACAAAATAATACTAACGAAAAGACAGAAATAAATAAATAGAATTTACCTGTCGGGTATTAAGATAGGTTACATCCATTGCAAGTGTAGTAATTGAACGAACTTCTTCTGTATGCAGAGTTCAGGACTTAGCAAGTGAATTGCCATTGCTTCTGCAGTTTGAAGAAGTCTGATTCGTACACCTTTAGGAAGACTACTTCGTATTCTGTAAACGACTTTGAAGTTTGTTTGCGGTGTAGCTTGGTGTCCAGAATCTATCAGATGTTCTAAGATGGGGCTGTGGGGGGCATCGTTTTTCTCCTTTGTAAAAGCATGTTGGTAAGTGTTCGGTGATACGTTTGGAAAGCGAACGCTGGGTACGGCCGACATACCTGGCTCCACACGAGCAGGTGAATTGATAAATACACATTGATGAGGCCAGCAGTGGTAGCTTACTTTAAGTTGCTATCTAATGAACCTAGTTTCTATATCTAAACTTGACAAACCTCACGTACACACACAAATAATTATATAAAAATGCGATTGTACAGGTATGTGAATGAATTCGCCGCTGAAAAGAGTCTCTTCGCTGAACGTCTTCTCTTTTTCTCTATGACTCAATGGGGATTTTTAAGCTATTTGATATTCCTCAGAAAGGTGTATTTATAGTCATAGGTGTAAATGTTTATTACTGGTATTGATCTGTCGTCTGAGCTGGGGCTTTCTGAAATAACTGAATAATATACTTGTTTTTGGGATTCCTTCTAACTGATTGATGGTGAACTAGATAGACTCTTCGTGTAATTGTATTCACACTACTTTAATTGGTCGAATATTATTCTCACCCTGAGAAGTCAAGACTTATCCCAGATATTTGATGTCAATGGTTCGATGGTAGGATTTTCGTCAGTGATTCTGGAGATCCTATTTTGATTCTCGCTCGACTCAGCCTAAACCTTGCCTAACCAGTTGTAAGTAGGTCACGAAATAGGGAAAGGTTGAATGTGAGGCTAGCAGCCTTCACCCCATAAACAATACAACCGCCAAAGAAACTGCAAGGCTTGATATCCTATGCTCCCCTCAGAAGTCAGGGAGTTATTTCGCATGACGAGTAACTTACGACTTTAATGAATAAAAACTGTATATGTTGACAAGTCATTAGGAAGGTTATGCGTTTAGTCCTTGGTGTGTTGTGTGTGTGTGCATAGTGAATTCGACCAATGAAGTTTACGACATGGTCAGTATTCTAGATGGCTCACCATTGCGATGCACTCTGAATTTATGTTAGATAGTTGGAGGCAGTCGGCAGGAGTCCTTGGACCTCAGGTTTTGTACTTGTTGGCACTCATCAGTCAGTCAGCAAGGTGTATCTGCAACCACTGAAGGAACTTATGTCCCTTCAGAGATTCGAACTCGTATCGCTCAATGCTGCAGTGAGAGACGTTACCACTGAGCTATTGGAGCTGACTCACGATTGACCTCCTGTACGACTGTAATCAACATCATGTGTCTAGTCCTTAGTGTAATAGTGCAGACTGAATTCTTTCAGTCAAGGTGTACAACACCTTGATGAGTGCTAACAAGCACGAAATACAGCTTTGGGGATTCCTGTCAATTTCCTCCAGACAGCTAACAATGACCAAAAAGCTTTATTCCAATTGGTCATTAACGTACCAATAAAAATTTCGTGATATAACGTCTGGTCCGCGTGTTTAATCCACAGTTTACGCAGTAAACGTCTGACTAGCAATGCATCGCTTATCCTTTCATGACACTCATTATCTTTCTTGACAACATCTTCAGTGCTCACCTCAAGATGACGAAGTGAGCATTCATAATTCTCCATAATAACTACCTTGATTTTTTTGTTGTTGATAAATTTGGAAGTGACTGGTTGTCTCCAAAGATTTTCTTATACTTGTGTTCACTTGTATCGATGTAGATCATTTTTTTTTCGACCTCGTATTTTACCTTTATGTGTACGTAAATGAGGATTTTTTAAATCCAAATAGCTAAGACCGTCGCAATGCAAAGTATACGAAAGCGTGCTGTTTCCAGGAGGCTTCACAGGAGAAACCTGATAATTTTCAAGTATTGGTTTTTGTAGGGATTTTTTAATTTGATTGGATGGAGGATTTCATCATGAGCTGACATTAGTTAGAGAAGCACTGGGAAACCTGGGAGTACTGCACAGCTGTTTCGTCATAGTGCGTACTGATGAAGAATCCCAGACTAGGACGAATCAGCTGTCCAGTACTCCCAGGTTCTCCAATGGTTCTCTAACTAATGTCAGCTCATGATGAAACTTGATAATGTCTATTGCGAATAAGATCAGAAGAATCTGCAGCCCTGAGTCGCTAGATCAGAAGATCATACTACTAGGGAAGGAACCAGTTGAAAAGGGCTACTCCTATGCGTCAAAGATAAACACATAAAAACCATAAGCCAACATAGAACACCTCGTCTCTGTGCTGAAAAACATGATACACATGAGTGCGACGTTCCAAGACGACAGCCTACTGGCCGACAGTGTAAAGAAGAGGATATCAGTGCTCTGAAAAGAACAATATTCTTTACTTCTACAATAAGTTTGGTATTTTACTGCGACACAATGTTCTCCAATAACTTGAAAGATAAACTAGCGTATTGGACCACTTCAATATGTATCTATCAATTAACTTGCTCCTGTGGAGGAAGGTTGTTTTACTCTAATTGAGTCAAGGAATATTATCTCCCGCATGCCTACAGAAAGATCACAATGGATCAATAAGGAGTGCTACAATCGATCGAACATATTTTACCTTTAGTCCATAAGACTTCAATTTCATTATTTGTTCAATTTGATGGATGTCAGTATGTCTGTCTGTCTATCGACTGCAGATCCATTTAAGTATCAGGATCACTGAAGAAGTTGTTGTCTAGTCGGAGAAGACAATGTAAGCTCCTCAATTCCACCGTCCAAATCAAGGAAGATGAGAACATCAATAGCAAGAACAACAGTGGTTTGTGTAGAATTAAATGGTACCATCATTGCTTATTTCGTCGGCTTCTCATCAGCTGCTTACAGGCCAAAGACATTATTAAGTATATCTACAGAAACAATTTTAACATACTTGAACAGAGTTCATTTCAAACAAAAATCAATCAATCAATATATGCATACAGTAAATATATATATATATAATATTAAACACTATTCCGACATTACGTAATCACATGAAAGAGAGGTGAAAATATCCAGTTACACCAGGATGGGCAAAGAAAGACTGATAACTGCTTGTTTCTGAACGCATAAATCAGGTTTCAGGCGCTTGATCGAGATTGCTTCGGTGAACTTAAGGAGGATTGAACTCTTTTGCCTATTGATAATTTTGAACGATTTTGCAACATCCACCTCATGACCCGTGTCAAGGAGATGTCTAGTGATGGCACTGTTTAAAGCATTTGTTTCCTTTAGACGTAAGCTTTTTGGAACATGTTCAGAAAATCGTAGATTATGCCCTTCTTTCTGTTGTTCCAATGTAACTGCTCCCGCAGATACATGTAAATTTGTATATACAATTGAAGTTGACATGAGAAGGATATCTATCGATTTTTCATTGCACTAAATAGGAAGTAGTTCGATAGATGGGAACGAGCTTAGCTGCAGGATAGGCTCTGGCTAGTGACGTACTCAGTCTTCTGTTGACCATCGCTGTAATATTTTCACCTTTATCAACAAGTTGAATGTAGGTTGGCTTTTTCTCCACTGTGATTTGTTTGAGATTTGTGACTTCAGATCTTCCGTAATTGTTAATGAATCTTTGAGAGTAACCGTTGCTTTTCATCATCTTTTCGAGAAACACAAATTCTTCCTCTAATTTCTCTATAGAGCGTAATCTCCTGGCTCTATAGTGTAGAGTCTTGACTAGTCCACGTTTAAAGTTATTTGGACAAAAACTATTAGAATGTAGATACTGTCCTTTCCATGTAGGCTTTCGTTAAATTAACTTCTGAAGACTACCATCTTGTAAGCGTTGCATGGCAATCTCGAGGAAGTGAACCTTTCCGTCACTTTCATGTTCTATAGTAAATTCAATCTTCGTATGTGCGTCATTGTATAATCTGAGTAAGTGTGAAACATGACTTTAATTGTTGTACACAACAAATGTGTCATTGACAGATCGACAATGAGAAGTTGTTTCATCGATTGCATGCTTCAACTTTGCTCTTTCAAGGTTGGGCATGAATATATCTGCTAAAACAGGGCTAATTGGACTGCCCATAGCTACACCATTTATTTGTCGGTAAAAAGTTTTGTCATATTGGAATTGTACATCCATGATTACGTAATGCCGAAAGTTTCCATTGTGTATGACCATTATGTTTAGGAATAGTGTGTAATATTATTATATATATTATTACTGTATGCATATGTTGATTGATTGATTTTTGTTTAAAAATGAACCGTCTGTGCAAGTATGTTAAAAATGTTTCTGTAGATATACTTAACAATGATATCTTCGGGCTGTAAGCAGCTGATGAGAAGCCAATGAAATAAACGATGATGGTACCATTTGATTCTGCAAAAACTGTTGTCTTCTTGCTCTATTCAAATTCATTAAGGGGAATCAATGTATGAAGCATCTCAAACAAACTACAGACCTTCATTAACAGCTGTCTTCGCTCAATACTCAACATCAGATGGCCAGCCAGAATAGATCAGCAACAGGGATCTCTGGGAGTGAACCAACCAGGAACCGATTGTGAAACAAATATGCAGAAGGAAATGGAGATGGATTGGCCATACTCTGAGGAAACCATCAAGCGACATCACTAGACAAGCCATTGCTCGAGTGGAACCCGAACGGGAAGCGGCGAGTTGGTCGTCAGTGTGAGGTTAGAGTGACATGGAGGAGGTCATGTGAAGAGGAGATGAAAACGTGTGGGCAGACATGGAGCCAGATGAAGACTCTAGCAGAGAACAGAACGCAATGGAGACGCACGGCTGAAGCCCTATGTTCCTCTGGGAATTAAAGGACACAATAATAATAATAATAATGTTTGAAACATCGATAGCATTCACTGGAACCACAAATCTTCTATTGTTGTTGTAAATACACGTATGTTTTTCTCTCAGACTTTGAAATTGACTTCACCAAACAATATTCATGGTACAGATATCTGTCTGACTTAATGTTTTGGGAAAATTATGTTTCTATGGGCTTGTAAAATTCGTTTTTTTCTGTTTGTATTTTCTCAAAGGTGAAACTTTATTTCTATTCCAGGTATCTTTTGCCAATTATTCACAAGTATCACCACCTCCAATTGAACCTCAGCGGCCAGTATACTTACGCGAAGTGAGAGTCTTTATTTATTGATTGATTTATTGATTTTTCATAGTTACTTGTATGTGGAAAACTTGAAGAGGATAAATTGCCTTTGACCCACAAATGTTTGCGTTCTGCCTCTCATAATTTGGTGAGTAATATTCAGGTTAGGCGTAGAGTGCTAGGTAATAAGGAGTAGGGAATCGATGCGGTTGTGAAGCTACATCGGTTAAGATGGTTACGACACGTGTTTCGCATACCGAGCCGCCGTCTTCCCTGGAGAACAATGCTAGCTGGTATAGGATTAGATTGGAATAGGGCTGAGGATTGGTCAAACTAAAATCCAACATCAATGTATGAAATCTTTGACTAGCGGTGTGAGTCCTGGAGACACCAACATCTGAAAGATTGGGACTAGTGATGGGGTGGTTCAAAATCGTTCTTAATAGTACAGATATATTCATTCTTTACAGTCTCGCAGATCCATTGAACTCCAGCGTTTCAGCATGTTACTATCGTTCCTGCCGCACATTTCTGCTCACTATGGTTCTTTTGAATTTCTCCTTCCACTATTTTGTCTAATTTTGTGTGTTACAGCGAGTGTGGGAAGTCTGTCTGTCTGTCTGTCTGTTTTCGACATAGAACTTTGCACCAATGTGCGGCAGTTCAAGTCGTCACACTCCATGTAGCACACAAAGCAAGAGAAGAAAGTAGGAGAAATGCATATTAGAGACAGTAAACAGAGGTGTGAGACAAAGGAATAGTAATAACGGAGAACAAAACAGTTAAATTGGAAATCATAAGTCACAAGGAGTGGATGCATCTGCGCCAGCTATTGAGAACGATTTTGAGCCATGTCACCAATTGTTTCCAGCCATTGGTGTTTACCGTCCCGAGGACCCCAACCAGACTGGAAGTCTCACCTTCCTATGTTGCTTAGACTAACTGTTGTAGATTTCATTGACTGGTGCCATGTTTTCGTTTGACTGCCGTTAGCTCTTTTCTATCCTGGCCCTATACCAGCTAACATTGCCTATTGTCGAGGAAGGTGATGACTAGGTATACGTAACACATGTCCTAACCATCTCAGTCGATGTAGCTGCACAGCCTCATCGATTGATTTCCCCTCCTCACCCAGCACTCGACCGAAGCCTAACCTCAATGTTGCTCACTCTATTACACCCACCACTTAATACGGGAGATTGAAAGCAGACACCTATGATCAAAGACAGCTAGCCAGTCTTTTCATGTCTTCCACTCTCAATGGTCACGTCTCACAGCCAGCCATAAAGGAAGACGGAGCGGACTGCTGACCAGTACACACCACACGTCGTTTGATTGACAGTCAGCTGGATATCACGTCTACGACAGAGACGGCGTAAACTGGCATATGCGAAACTAGCCCTCTTTATCCGTGCTGAGATTTCGTCAGCGATCAACCCGTTGGAACTGGCCGATGCAACTTCCCAAATAAGTGAAGTGGTCAACACGCTCCACCAACTACTTCACTCCCTATTTCTAAGCCAGGAGTGGGTCAATGTAGTCCAGTCCTGTAGCATCATTTCCCTCCATGTACCACACAAAGCTAGAGAATACAATAAAGGGAGGTTAAACAACAGCTACTGAGATCGATTTTGAGTCATATCACTGCTAGCTGTCTCCAGCCTTCATTGGTTCTTACCATCATCCCGAGGACCCCAACAATTTAACGGAATTCGAATAAGTTTCTTTTGTCTACTAAGAGATTGTCTCTATCATCAGATCATCATAAATGGTACAACTTATCAGGTATATAAATAGTGCTCAACTGTCTTGAATTACTCAAACCTCATGTAGTAAGATGAAGTATTGACATAGGAGAGACCAAAGGGAATAATTTGCATTTGTCAAGTAAAAATGCATCCCTTAAATGTTTTTTCCTAGCTTCAGGACACTGCAGTAGTCTGAATGTCTACACCCTCATACAGAAACAAAATCAGGATTGTCAAGATTCATAGCTACTGAATTGCTGATCTATAAGCTATATTCCAAATTTTGTGAATTCATGATATACTGCGTCCCTCATAGTGCATCGTCATCAGTCAGTGGTTATCCTCACACCCGACCTTTCTAATTCCTTCACGTTCCCAGTGGAACATAGGACTTCAGGCTGGACGCCTGAAGTTTCTGTAGCAATGTTTATCTTTACAAGATGAGGTTGCTAGTAGCCTCATGGCCAACCTTTCCTCTTTACCAGCTTTATTTCTTCCTTAGCGAGGTAAAGGAGTGCGTCGGGGGTCGGGGATCGAACCCCAGACTAATCTGTATGGTTGGCGAGTGTCCTAACCACTGTGCCACCGACGCACTCACACCCAACCTAGTTGATGTTACTATTTACTATTTGAGTTTCGGGAAATTCATCTTGAGGAGAGTCTCATGGCCTTCTAGTTCTCAACTCAGTTTCTGAATGGTAACGTGTTGTTTTTAGGACTTCAGAATTTTACACTGTATCACCTACTAGTTCGTGAGTACGTACCCTTTGGAAATCAAAAAAAAGACTAGAATGAAGTAGTTATTCAGTACCCCTTGGCTTTTAATGATACTTTGGCTGGTAATGGTTAGAGGCGAAAATCACTTTCTTTTACTGATAATTCCGCATTTTATTTAACTAAATAATAATAATAATTTGCTTTATTCCAAAACAGTACTTGTGATACACAATGGAATTGTCAGCATTTTCACTACAGTATTGTATCCAGTTAGTACATTATCAATAAAGAGAATTCTACATAGATTAAGGAAATCTCAATTCATTATGACAAAAACATATTGGCATGTCGGTAGCAAAGGTAAAGCTGAAACAGTGTTTGAAGGTGTTAGAAAAGTGGGAGCTGTCTTATTAACTGGCATAAGCGGAAGAAAGAAACAAAGTAGCACATAACGGAAAAAGAGAGAAAGAAAAGGAAAAGAAAGAAAGAAGACGTTGCACTCATAAATGATATGAGTTGGAAAGACGAGATCCAGTTGTTCTACTGGCTATTTAATAAGTTATAGGTGTCACGCCTAATGCTTTATCACACAGAACACGAGCTAAGTAGGGTATGGTTGAGTTTTTGTACTTGCTGGTACGAGCATATAGTTTTCTATATAGGCTTCTGGTTTTGCCTGATGAGATGCAAGGGGAGACTTGTGAGTGAAGAGGGTGGTGTGAGTTAGATAAAATGGATTTGGCCCGTTTTTCACATGAGTCCAAGTGCGTGCCTGTCGACCAGAATATTAACAAGCTGGTTAAGTGGCACATTGCTTACCCTGCTGAAAACTTTTAACATCCTGCGTAATATGTTATAGTCTTTCTTCAGTAGCCCTGGAAAAACTAAGGGGGAACAATAGAGAATAATAGGCAGAATGCGAGAATTAACGAATTGTAGAAGTAAGGGTTGGGTTATACCAGAATGTTTTAACTTCTTGATGTAGAAGGTGAGACGGAATATTTTCTTAGAAATCATCAAGATATGAGACGACCAGGAGAGATCAGCAGATAGAATGACTCCTAGGTATTTAATTTCCGACTTGGTTTCTATTTCAGTGCCTTCAATGTTGCACACCTCGTGACAGCCAACCAGTTTGTTTAGGTCGGATTTATGCCTCAAGGTGAAATCGACTGTTTGGCATTTGGAGGGGTTTAAGAAAAGACCGTTTTCCTTGGACCACTGGCTGATTTCTGACAGAAAGCCATTAAGTTTAGAGCAGTCACTTTGACATTTGACAGGTAAAGATACAGTCAGGTCGTCAGCATATTTGACAAAATTAATGTCATTTGAAGATGGTAAGTCATGTAGAAAGAAAGAAAAGAGAAGTGGGGAGAGTACAGCACCTTATAAAGTATATTCATTTAAGCCACACCTTTCCTTACTCATGTTTTCTTTTATTTATTATTTCAGTTGAGTAATGTCACAACATTTAGTCTACCTATTTCACCCGCTACTCCTGGCGCTCAAAAACCTCATGCAATGAAAGTTATCCTATCGGCTATTTGGAATCCTCGACTTCGTCGAATGCAGAAAAGAACAGAGGGAATTGAAGTGAGTCTGCTTATTTGTGACGTGGCGTGTGTGTGTGTGTGTGGGGAGGGTCATTGATTTAGTCATTCAGTTTTCAAATAGTTTTAACCCTGAGTTCGAGTCCCACTTCACCTAGTTCACACTGTATGGTTGGGTAGGATCATTAGCCATTTTCACACAATAATTGTGGCTCATATCCTCAAACATGAAAGATATGTTATGGGAACTGAGTTCAAACAATTAACGTGTTTGTGAACCGCACCAAGAAACTATTATATAAAGACTAAGTTTAGATATGATGGAGAAGATTTGTAGCTCAGGTGGATGATTTTGATGTGATTGTTTTCTCTGAGCTGGATAGTTAATTGTATCACTCCCAAGAACTCCAACATATAATTTATCCAAAGAATTATACAGAAAACTAAAACACCTAACGGAATCTTGTGATCACTCCATCAACTCCGCTGTCCAATTCCTAGAGAAAATCAGAAGCATCCAAATAGATGAACAAGAGATAATGATATCCTTCGACGTCACAGCATTTTATACCTCAATCGCACAAAAACTAGCAAAAGAAACCATGGAGCAATTACTTAGCAACGACGAACACCTCCCACAACAATCAAAAATGCAACACATAACCTGTATGGAATGCATAAACCTATGCCTAACAACATACTTGCAATTCAACGGCCAAATATATGAACAAGTCAAAGGAGCACCTATGGGATCGCCAATATCAGGTTTAATTGCAGAAGCAGTGATGCAAAGGCTCGAAAACATAATTCTACCAAAGATCAACCTCAAGATTTGGATACGCTACGTAGATGACACATTTGTAATTATCAAAAGAAACGAGTTAGATAAAGCTCACAACCTGATAAACAACGTCTTCAACGACATCAAATTCACAAGAGAAGAGGAATCAAAGAACCAAATTCCATTTTTGGACGTCTTAGTCAAGCGAACAACCACAGGGGAATTAGAAACTCAAGTCTATAGAAAATCAACCCTCACAGACACAACAGCAACAATCCAATAGCACAAGAGGAATTGCATACAAACACTATTCAAGAGGGCCAGGACTCATTGCAGCACTCCCACATTAAGGAAAATTGAATACTAATAACCTAGAAGGTGTGAAAACACAAAAACAACCAATCACGTCAAGGTCACCAGGAGAGATGATTAATAAACTAGTGAAGAAATCTAAAAGCTCACTTCAATTCAAATTGAAGTATGCGCTGAAGATGTCGCCTAGTAGGGCGATGAAAGCTTCGCAAATTAAATATCCAGCTCAGAGAACACAACCGCTTCAAAAAGACTAAATTACCTAGAATTCTAATGACAAGTGGTGTCCAGAGGAGTCTACCAAGTTAATCGTGATATTGGCTAGTGATGGAGGTGTAAATTACAATCTGGCAGAAGTTAGGATTCGATGGCCGTCGGATTCCGTCCAAGTGGCTGAATGGTGAACAGACATTTTGAGACCCTAAAGACACAACAGAATAATGATTGAAGTCCTTAGTTAGTTAGTTAGTTTCATTTCTCAGACATTGGGAGTTTCTACTCAAAGCCTCAGGAACGGTTGTCATGTTTTGGGACCCTGTGCTACAGCGCCCTCTCGCCACCCCCTTGATTATTCTTTTTCTCAAGTTTAGTGGAGAATTATGAATCATCGGTTTGTGAACGTTTTATATACTCGAGAGAGCAGAGAATCTCATTAACGATCATATTGTAAGCAGACCGCCATCGTTGGCCGTTTGTTTGACCTTCCTATATGGTTTGATTACTTTCAGAGGGAATTGATAGTCAAACTAGTTATTTGGTTACAGGATTTCATCATGAGCTGACATTGGTTAGAGAACCATTGGAAAACCAGCTGGGAGTACTGGACATTTGTTTCGTCCTAGTTTGAGACTCTTCAGTAGTACTCACCTACCGGTGTCCGAACCCAGGTCCTTCTGGTTACAAGGCGAGCTCGTATACCATTGAGCCACTGGGACCCGATCCAATGGCTTATGACTGGCCCTATTCAGCTAGGTGGTTACCTGGGGTTCTAGTGGAAAGTCGTGACCGGTAGGGTGCAGCAGGTTGGGTGTGAGGACAAATACACGTCGAAGATATTGGCTAGCGGTTACGCTATATCGTGAATTGGCAGAAGTTAGAATTCATGGGCTGGTCATTGGATCGGGTCCCAGTGGCTTAATGGTCTACGAGCTTGCTAGCCTTGTAACCAGAAGGTCCTGGGTTCGAACCCTGGTGGTAGTTGCGCACTTCTGAAGAGTCCCAATGTAGGACTAGAGAAACAGCTGTCCAGTACTCCTTGGTTGGTTTTCCAATGGTTCTCTAACCAATGTCAGCTCATGATGAAATTCTGTAACCAATCAACCAAATCCCTACAAACCAATACTTGAAACTAGTTATATTTATCGTTCGATAATCATTTAATAATTTTTTAAATCTTTGTATAGGTGGCCAATAGTGGACTGAATCGTTTTTATTCAGCGCCAACAGGTCGACCAATTGCTGCACTAGACACTACTACTCCTACTACTGATAATCAATTGAGTAGTGATAAATGGATAGCTTTAAAAGATACGAAAGACGAAGAGACACCATTTCTTGCCGGCGGCGTCGGCGGCGATGGTGATACAATATTATCTCCTATTGATTCTATTCCTGATACCAGTAATAATGATGATAAAGTTAACCGGCGTAATATTCTGATGGGATTGGATAATTCAGTTGAACAAAACCCACCTGGTTATGAAGAATTGGTTAGTGATGTTGACGTTAGAACTGTTGCCGATGACGTCGCTGATGATGATGATGACGATGACAATCGCTTTATTCCTCAAAGTCCATTGGTATCTGACCTGACAGATCCACTAACATCTTTTCAACATTCGAATAGTTTTGCTTGTAAGTTTATATCCTTTTCGTTAAATTTTGCTGTTAAAGTGTTGTTGATGATGTAGGAGAGTTGATACTAGGTAAGCTCGTAACCCAGTGCCCATAGTTTCAAACGCCAAAGCGTTATTTACTAGACCACAGGGGCTACGAGAGCCACCTCTTGTGCGCATCCTGGATTCCACTGCTGTCTGTCTGTCTGTCTGGGTTCAACATAGAACTTGGCACCAAAGTGCAGCAGTTCCAGTTGCCACGTTCCAAATACCACACAAAGGTTGACAAGAAGATGAGTGAAGGGAATCAATAGAGTTTTGACAAGTATAAGAGTGAAACAGAATGAGTAATGGTAGAAAGGAATATAAAAAAGATTACAGAGACTGAATACATCTGCGTAAGCCATTGACAACGATTTTGAGCCATATCACCGATTGTCTCCAGCCATTGATTCTTAGAGTCCCGAGGACGGGCCCCAACCCGGAAGTCTGCATCTCCCTCACTACCTGACTCAGTTTAACTGTCAAGGATTTCATGGATTGATGAGGCCATGTTTTTGTTTGGCCACCACTTACTCTTTTCCAACCTGCACCTATATCAGCTAGTAATGCCCGTCCGTCGGGGGAGGCGATGGTTAGGCATACGCAGCACGTGACCTAGCCATCTCAATCTATGTAACTTTATAGCTTCTTCGATTGATTTTCCCTCTTTGCCCAACACTCTACGCCTTACGTCAACATTACTTACCTTATTATACCACCTAACGTGAGAAAGAGATCGTAGACATCTATGATCAAAGACAGTCAACTTTTTCATGTCTTCAACTCGTATTAGCCATGTTTCAGAGCCATAGAGAAGGACGGAGCGAACTGCTGAGCAGTACACACGTTCCCTGGTTGGTAGCCGAATGTCACGCCTACTCCAGAGACGGTGTAAGTTAGCGAATTCCACTGCTAGTCACCATCAACTCATTAAATTCCAATTAAATGCCCATACATCGTCGAAGCATTTGCACAAGAAGCCGACATGTCAACCTGAGACCGAGGAGCACTTCAGTCCAATCAACAGACTGGAAAATCTAAAATTCAATTAAAATTATTATGACCCGTTGCACAAGAGGTGGCTCTCGTGGCCCAGGCGGTTTAGTAGCTCACGCTTTGGCGTTTGAAACTGTGGGCACTGGGTTCGAGCCTTGGTGGGAACATCATCACTCACTGCGGAATGCAAGTACATCCAGTTAACGAGTTCCAAATAGGACGAAATGCGCCTTATCCTGGATTCCACTGCTAGTCACCATCCACCAAATAGACAGAAGACAAGGGTCAGGCAACAGATCATTTATTGAGAAAATCAAGAGTTATTAGCGTTATTGTTAGCGGAAAAGCAACCTCTTCTGATAAGTTGTTTCCTTGCTGGAGGTTATTATGTTATCTCTTTGTGGCCGTTTCTCAGAAAGTTAAGCCACATGTCTGCGAATCATATTTCCCCACTTTAACTCCACCGTGATTGGTTACTGATTTTCTCAAGGTTAAGCTTTGTTATTGTTTTTCTCATGACCCTGATCGGGACGTAAACATTGATGTAAATGGTTGTCGAAAATTTGGGCTTTATCGCAGCCAGCTCTCCCACAAGCTAACTTCCAGAGTCAGTTGAGGTTCTTGTAATAGTTATTGGGGGTTATTCGTAAACCAGCTGTTTGTAACTTTGACAGTGTCAAATTTTTCAAGTTAGGTGACACATTTCTGAAGCTTTCACTGTGATGCGTGGTGAAAACGTTCTCTACACGAAATCCGTCGAATGCTTAAACCAATGAGTCGCATTTTCAGAATTTACTGGAGACGTAACCTACATATATTCGCATAATTGGAGACTTTTCTTTCCTGGTGGATGGTGACGGTAAGCAGTGGAATCCAGGATGGGCATTTCGTCCTATTTCGGACACGTTAGTAGGATGTTCCTGCAATCCCCTGTGACTGGTGGTGGTGTTCTCTCTGAGACTCAAATCAAGGGCCAACCGTTTAAAACGCCGAAGGGTTACCCACTAAGCTACTTGGCCTACCTTTTGTTCATTGGGTTTAGTGGATAACGGTTTGAGGTTTGAAATGACTGGCTGTTGGTTCTCGGTCTCCGTAGGAACACCATCACACACTCGGGGGTGAGGGAAGGGTGGATGCAGATAGATCTAGCTGGTGAGTCCCGAGAAGGACGAAGTGTGCATCCTGGATTCTGTTGCTAGTCATCACCGATAAAATGGCATCATGTTAATCCTCAGACATTGTCGAAGCCTCCGTATTGGGAGCTGGCGTGTCAGTAGAGATCGAACATTTCGATCCGATGCAACAAATCACCGAGAAATAAGAAATTCACTTAGACAGAATTTTCCCTTCTACTTTTCCTGATTAACCTCATTTTGCTCATTCTTATGACTAGGGGTCTCTTCCAGAGTTAAACATCAATCGATGAAGTAGGTTATGTAATTTATAAATGGCCAAGGCTGGAACCATGAAAGAAGGGTAGAGGTTGAATAAACTTGTCTTCCGATGTTCAAAGCTCCAGCAATACAGATGAGTTGGATAAGTGATGATTTTTAGCAGGTGGATAACTTTAAAGGCACAGGTTGTGGAGATAAGATGACCAATGCCGATCAGGTGTTCAATTGTTCGGCTTCTTACTGCCCCGCTTCTACCTCTTGGCAATCATGCAACGTAGTGTTCTTGCACTCTTTTGGATAAAACTCACATCAACTTAATGATGCTTCAGCCAGTGTTTCCTTTTCAGAGACTGTGAAATTCGTCTTTTAAGGATGATGTTACAGGACTGGACTATTATGGATAAGATTTTATTTTCATAAATCACACAGTGTTACACAGTAATATTAACGGATGACGTTTCGAGCACAAATTATTGCTCATAATCATATCGAGTTACTCACGCAACTTTTTCCTTCATTTATATTGTGCTTGAAACGTCATCAGTTAATATTATTGTGTAGCACTGTGTGACTTATCAAAATAAAATCTTATCCATAATGGAGTTACACTCTACCACAGTGCCCAAGTTTTATACTTACATCAATAGGACTGGACTATATTGACTCCTAGTTGACTTGACGATAGGGAGTGAAGTGGTAGAGCGTGTTGACCACTTCACTTGTTTGGGAAGTTGCATCAGCCAATGCCAGCGGGTTGATCGCTGACGAAATCTCAGCACGGATACAGACAGCTAGTTTCGCATATGCCAGTTTACGCCGTCTCTGACCAAGTGGACGTGATATCCGGCTGATTATCGACCAAAGGGCGCGTGTACTGGTCAGCAGTCCGCTCCGTCCTCCTTTATGGCTGGCTGTGAGACCTGGTCATTGAGAGTAGAGGACATGAAAAGACTGGCTAGCTGTCTTTGATCATAGGTGTCTGCGTTCTATCTCCCGTGTTAATTGGTGGGTGTAATAGAGTGAGCAACATTGAGGTTAGGCTTCGGTCGAGTGCTAGTTAATGAGGGAGGGGAAATCAATCGACGAGTCTGTGAAGTTACATCGATTGAAATGGTTAGGACATATGTTACGCATCCCTCGCCATCAATTACCTTCCTCGACAACAAGCAATGCTAGCTGACTGATATAGGGTCAGGTTGGAAAAGAGCCTGTGGTGGTCAAACCAAAAGATGGCTTCATCAGTGAATGAAATCTACAATCTACCCAATCCAATCCTATGATTTCAAATCAATCACAAAATATCATGCCGGATCGGTCGGGGCCCGGATTAACAACGACCGCGCTTTCTGCTGCCGTGTCACAGGGCAGAAGTGATAAATACGCTACTGAGACACACCAAATAAAAAAGAACAAACAAAAACAGGCCGTGTGTGACCGGCCTCAAGCAGTTGTCCCCTGGGCTCTGCGGTCACGCAACCAACTTCCACGGTGTGGGCAGCCGGGAAGTAACAATCGCCCTCACAATCCGAAGTGCACGCGAAACCCCTCTAATCCTCGCTCATCTTTGTCTTCATCTTCATCTCTATTATCTTGCCTTCCTTCTACTAATGCAACTCCTATACTTGTTGGCTCTTCACTTCCCCTTCACTCTGTGTGCACTGATAACGATGGAAGCCAAAAAGCCACCACTGATGGTCTCCTAAAACCACGCCACCAATTTTATATAGGAGCATTTAATGTTAGGACACTTTGCCAAATAGGACAACAAGCATCACTAGCCAAGACTCTGGCATCCCGAGCCATTGATGTATGTTGTGTTTCAGAAACACGCATACAAGACCCAAGTGTGGTTATTCACCTAACCCCACCTGGCCAACAGGATGAATCTGCAAAATTCACCTTGAGGGTGTCAGGAGATGCGACGGCTAGCTCACGAGGATTAGCTGGTGTTGGGATAGCTTTAAGTACTAGAGCAGAAAAGACATTACTTGACTGGATCCCGGTAGATAGCCGAATGTGCGCTGTCCGCCTGAACGGATCAGTGAAAAGGAGAAAGGACTGCACTACTCGCCGATGCCTTTTCGTAATCTCCGCCTACGCCCCCACTGACTGCAGTTCGGATGAAACGAAGGATGAGTTCTACCAAAAGCTGTCTAGTTTGCTGCGAAAGGCTAGACGCTCAGATATAGTCGTTTTAGCTGGTGACTTTAATGCTCAAGTAGGGAAATTGTGTCAATCTGAGAAGAATGTTGGTGGCACATACGGAATCCCGTGCCAGCGAACCGACAACGGTGACCGTCTCCTACAGTTCTGTTCAGATAATCATCTGTTTCTTGTAAGCACTAACTTCAAACACAAGGAGAGACACTGTTTGACCTGGCGACCTCCATCATCAAACCAACGCTGGACACAAATAGACCACATAGCAATAAGCTATCGTTGGCGTGGGTCGGTAGGAGATTGTCGCTCCTTCTGGAACACGTGTGTAGATACCGATCACGCACTGGTCCGCGCTCGTGTGTGCTTACGACTGAACGGACGTAGGAAACAGCTGGCGGTAAACCCACCACGTCCCCAGCTCGACCAG